TTTTGAAGAAAATGTTATGAGCAAGTAGTGATCTTAATGTGCAGGGGGAACAGGCATAATGGCATAATTTTCCTTTTTTTTTTTCTGGTTTTATTACCATGGAAGTAATTCTTCTTGCAGCTCTTGGAGGGATTATTTGCTGTGTAGGGTACACAGAGGGCAGACCTGTTGATCAGCCTACTTTTCACTTTTCTTAGCTTGTACTAAATATTGTTAGATGGTATTGAAAAAAGCAGCTGTAAAGGATTGTGTTTTTTTTTTCCTGGCTTCTGTGTTCCACCTCAGAAACATAATGTTTAGACTCTGGTAGGTTTAGCTGAAACGGATCACTGTGCAGTGTGGCTGTATTGCTGCAGGTAGTCTGCCTGGTTTATCTACTGCACTGTGCAGTAGAGTCCATGTAAAAGCAAAGTTGGAATAGGGCCTTAAGATACAGTGACTTGTCCAGAACACACTGGAATGGATATGATTTATTCCAATTTCTTCTATAGTACTTGGATGAAACCTTTGTCTTGGGCATACTGAGAATGTAAAGCATGAGGTGTTCAAACTCAGTTAAATTATGAAAGTGTATGTAATTCCTACTCTGGCAGTTTCTGTTTTACTGAGGCATTATGTCTATCATCCTATTGGTTTCTTTAAAACAAATGAACAAAAAGATTTGCACCGCTATTCATCAAAATTTATCAAGTACCTGGTTTTGTCATGACACCCAGAAATACACATAAACACATTAAGATGCAGTCCAAATGGCTGCATTCACCCCCAGCTTCTCACAACTGTTCAGACAGAACAGTGCTTCCTTCAGTTGTTACGGTGCTATGGTATAAGCAGTAGGCTCATTCTGTGCCTATCTTCCTGTGTGATCAAAGAAAGAAAAAAAAAAAAAGTTTGCTTGCAACATCATCTGTATCACTGAAGGTATTTTTGCCTGTTCTAGGATGCCTTGGTCATTTTTTCTACTTTATTTTTGACTACAATATAGGACTTGAAATTCATCAGACTTGTTTAGGATATATTTCGTGTTCTCCATCTTATCCTGAATAGGATGTTGATTAGAATGGAGATTCTACTAGACTAATTTTTGGTGTTTGTATAGTAAATGATGTTCTATGGTATGGACTATCCCTTTGGCTGATGCAGGTCAGCTGTCCCATCTGTGGCCCTTCCCAACTTCTTGCCTATGCCGGGCCTGCTGGCTGTGGGTGGCACATTGGGAAAAGGAGTAAGCCTTGATCTTGTATAAGAACTGTTCAGTAATAGCCAAAATGTTGATCTCTTATCAACAGTGTTTTAGCCACAAATCCAAAACACAGCACCAGGCAGGCTGCTGTGGAGGAAGCTAACTCCATCTCAGCCAGACCCAGTGCAGTGATTCCTTTTTTGAAAAACAGAATTATCTATCTTCCTTTCCCTCAGTTGTTCACTAGGTCAAGCAGTTTGAGAATATTCTTAGCTGTCAGAAAAGGAAATGGGAGGGGAGGCATTGTGTGCATGAAGCACAGCCTTTCTCTGTAGAGATTTGTAGGTGTTCCAGCTCTAGTCTGACACCTTAATTTTATCAGTCCTCAAATTCTTATTACTTACTGATAATTACTGGACAGTTAATCTGAACCAACAATCATGAGTATCCACAACTTGAACAGAGTAACTTATTCACAAAATTCTTGTCACATAGCCATATTTTTCTGCTTCTTCATTTTTAATTTCACCTTCTTCACCATTTCATTGAATTCAGTACCCTTTAAAGGCCATACATCAATAGAAAATGAATGCCATAATTCTAAAGTATTAACAATTATTTGTAATACAGTAACATCTAAAAATGTTAGTCGATCTTGAGGTTTATGTAGTGTGCAATTAGCTGAAACAGCTGCCTGGATTTGATGACTATCATGATTAAATCCTCAAAAAGAAATGTCCTTTAAAATATATGATTAGATCAATATTAATCTATTTAAGAGTAATTCCAGAATGAAGGTTTAGTTCATTTCAGTGAATAATGTAATGTAGATGCAATTTTCTAAATGTGTTTTTAAAAAAAGCATTGTACCTTTTCTCATAGCTTTTACTTTGAGATACAGAATGAGTTTATGGTGGTGTTCATTGTAAGAAGATAGGGAATTACGTTTTAAAATTTAGTGCTTTCAGGTTCTGGTGAGCTCTTCCTTCTACTGTATCTTGCTTGCATGGTGCTGTAAGAAACTTAAAACAGGGAAGGGGGATTCTAAAAAATATACTACTCTGAAAAAGAAAGGAAAACTAAGATCTGGAGAGCAAAACCTACAAGATTAAAGGGAAATATACCACTTTTCAAATTTATAAAAGTACCTACAAAAGGGAGGTCAACAAAATATTTTCCATATTCTCCAAAAGAAAAAATCCTGCATTCAAATAGCAGCAAAGAAACTGCATATATGTTGTCCTAGACTCTGAAATCAGTTGTCCAGTGAGGGTTTGCCATTTCCACTTGACACAGATACTCTAGATTTTCAAGTACTATGCCAAAATACTGTTACATGCAATTTTCTTGGCCAATGTTGATCTGTGGAAGAAATTCCTTCTAAAAAGATTCCTGTGCAAAACTACCCTTTTCAAACTGGTATGTGTGAAGTAGCAGTAGTATGTGTGAAATACACTCTGTTTGCTTGGAATAATGCGCAGAGATACCTTAGAATTTAGGTTTTGTGGAAGTTGCGTGGATCATTTTCCACAGGCAAAGAGTGCTGCATTATTTCAGTCCTGATAACAAATTATTGGACACTGTTATAAACAGACTAAACATCTGTGAGCAGAGGTTAGAGACATCGCTTGGATGAGCTAGGTGATTTCTCATGGGTCCTTCCATTCCTGTTTTGTACAACCCTAGACACATACCTTTTAAGCTTTGAAGATTTGTTTTGGGATTAAAAACAGGAAAATAAAAAATAAGGTAGTTTTTTGGAAATGTTTCAAATGTTTTATTCCCTATCCTGCACATCTGAATCTTTGACACCTGCTTTATCGGGTGGTCTTCTAACTTTTACAAATCTGTTCACAAACTTAGATAAAACTACTTTTTTTTTCCCCCATATTTACTGGGAAGTTTGACATTCTATTTCTCTTAAAGCTTAAAATGTATGTACATTCCTAAGGTACAGACTCTCTGAATATAAAAGTTAGCAGGGTGCTGTATTTAATATTGGTAACAATGAATCACAGGATAAATGTATGTATTTTTTTCTGTGACCTTAAAACTATGTAGCATCTGTTATTCAAAAGCAGGTGTTGCAGGCACAGTTGTGTGGAGTTTTAGAAATGACTCATTTTAAGGATCTGTATGTGTTGTTTATGTAGATATGTTTATATTGATATGATTGCTATAAAGCTTGATCAACAAAGAAATAAATTGAAAACAAAATTTTATTTTTTAATATAAGCAATAACTTTATGGGAAAATAAATCTTTTTGTTATGTCCTATCATGAGAAATTTGTGTAATAAAGAAGATGGATTTTATTTTTTTCCATACTAAGATTTGCAAATGTCTTGAATTCATCAGTTGTTTTCATTTTTATTGAATCAGATTTCCTTAAAAGAAGAAAAAATTTCAAGACTAACAGGCTGTCTTTAAAACAAATTCAAGGCCCTCATTCCCACTTCTGAACCTCTAAATGAGACTCATGTCATAATTCAGCCAAATATGAAGTCCTTTACCTGAGACACACAAAATACAGTTACTTTGTTCTGTTCTTATCTATTCTCCATAGCAAATTATTGACAAGTTTTCCTAGTACTCTTTTAACTCCTGAAGGTACTAAATTGTATCTGTCCTCTGTAGGAAAAAAGAAAGAAAGAAAGAAAAAAAAAAAAGTAGGAAGTTGCTGGAAAAATTCGAGGAATTTTTATGGAAGGTGGATTTAGGTTATGTGAAACTGCTGGGTTTTGGCAAGTTGGGGTTGTTGCCTGTCTGAATACGGGGCTGCACTAGATAGAAGTGGGATGTGCAGGCAGTTGAGCTTGCTGCTTGTGCAGGAGCTGGGCCTGGTCAACTTTGCCCACAAATTTCTGATGGCCAGGTCTCCTCCGCAGAGCTCACACTCTGGCACTCTTCATCACCTGTGATCCAATGGTTAGCTTTATGTTGTGGGGCTGAAGCATTAGACCCAGATATGAAGAGAGCAGCATGTTTTTATCAAGAATTCGAGGTAGTTTTGTGTGTGTTATGGAGTGGAAGAGCAGCTCATCTACCATTACAACTGAAATGTGCTCCTTTTCCATTGCTAAACTGGATGGTGTTTTCAGCCCTATTTTCCTGATTAATCTTGCATGGAGTAACATTACTTTCACCTTTGTAAAATAGGAGTAATTGGGTTCTTGTGTTTAACTTGTAGCTTTTGCAGCTTTGGCTTTTACTACTGATTTATTGTCCTGTCTGGGGCTGTTAACTGATGGGGTATACAAGAATAATAATTGGGTTTGTGAAATTAAATCCTAAAGTCCATTTTCTAATCTCACAGACCTACATAAGACGAGACATGCGCAAAGGATTTCTATTTGTTTAAGCAATATTAGAAATACATGATAATGGCTTTTCCTGTCTTCAGAAGGACAGGTTTTTGAAGTCTGGAGATTTTGTTAAGATAAACATTACAAAGAAACTCATGTGCCACCAGATGTAAGAAAAGTGTTCAGTACAATTCTTGCATGAGCACTGAATGCATCTTTGCCACAGTGACTAACGACTGTGAGTATAGTGAACTAAGCATACTAAGCTGCGTTTATTCCTGGTGGGAATAAACAGGAGCATTCCAGGTTCTTAATTGCTTGTCATCATAGCAGAGCAAAAGAAAAATAATAAAAAACCCAAACCAAAACAAAAAAAGTTTAAAAAATTTGGCCCATGTGAGGCATAGCTCGTTTTTGAGATGATCTCAGTAACTGTATAGTTTTCAGTCGGTTTGCATCTGTGTAAAGTAAGCGATGCCACAAATTAATATAGTGTGTTTTGTCTGGTTTTAGGCTGGTACAGAGGTGTTTCCATTAAGAAGCCCAATGTAAAGGTAAGTGTGAATATCTTTTTAATCTAGTGGGAGATAATACTTATTTTGCTGTTGCAACCCAGTAAACTTTGTTTTCCTTACCCTTAGGATTTTACTTCTCTAACTCTTTCACTGTGGGAGAATTGGATTTATTTGCTAAATTGAGGGAACAGTACTCGTTAGTCACCGAAAAGATCAGAAGCCTTCCTGACATACAATCTTTCCAATATTTATAAATCTCATCCAATTTGATCCTCTCCATGCTAGTCCCCTACAAAAACCATACATGGGTGATCTTGCACTGCTTAATTCAGGATTTTTAAAGAACACATTTATTAATTTGCAGTATTAATCTAAGACAACTGTGAAAAAAGTCTGATGAAAGAGGATATTATAAGTTTGTCTTTTTTTTCAGATTTTTACAGTTTAACCATTGCATTTGGTTATTTTCCAGTCATTTTCCTGTTTTGCTCTTGGAGAACTTTTTGACTGTTCTGATATTAATTTTTTGCGACTCCATATATATTTTTGTAAATGCATGTATCCAAACCATAAACAGTTGCTTCTATGTAAGCATCGCTTCATTTTTTTTTTTGGTTGAAATACAGCTTGTATTTAAAAAGAGTACCAGATTCCTAATTTTTACTTGTATTATGGAATATAATGCTACCTGTATTATGTTTTCATTACTATTTTAATGGAAAAGACTACATTCATTGTGTGTTTATTGGTACATCCTCTGTTTGTGTATATGTTCAGTTTTGATTGGAGAGCCCTTCAAACCTTCCTTAGTTTCTTAGGTAACCAGCACAGGATCACAGAAATAAACAGCATTAACTGGAAGTGAACTAAACAAGAAACAGGAGGACCGTTTCTACCTTTTCGAGATTTTCATGTGGCTGAGAGCATGCATGTTTACTCTCTTTTTTTTTTTTTTTTTCCCTATGAAGCCATTCCTGTTAGATTCGTCTTTTTTCCTTCTGCAATTTCAGTCCTGCCTATGAAAAAGAAGGATCTTTTCTTAGCATTTTGAATCAGCTTTACTTAGCATTCCTTTCAACCCCTCCATGAAAATTATTCTTCCTAAATGGTACTGTTTTAAAGCTCTAAAATTTGAAAGCCCACACTTGATTACTGATGTTTTTGTCAGGGGCTGTCAGCTGTTTTTTAACCTGAAGATTACCAATGCTGATCCTGTATTCCCCACTGAAGTACAGGCTTACTGTTCTTACACACTGACTGAGTGTGCTTTGAGGATTCAGGGCTGTGTGTTTTACAGAGATAATGGAACACTATGGAAAGTTTGGTTTAAATGCCCTTTTTTCCTCACGTCTCATCACACAAGAACACAATGGCATAGGCAAGGTTAGAATCTGAATGTCATGGGAACAGCAAAAGGCAAATAACCGGTTCTATCCCAAATGGGTTTAAACAGCTTTTTGTTGGAAAGAGGGAAGATAAAGAATAGCTCCAAGGTATGCAAGTAATAGAATACTACTTTCCTTAGTGAAAGATTGATAGGGGTGTCAGACACAAATTTGATGGTGGGCTTTTTGTTTTCTTTTTTAAACCTATGCCCTTGTCATCTGATGTAACACAGCATACCGAAACAGAGGCCTGGGCTGGAAGCATACTGATGCGATGCTGCAAACTGCATGATGGTCACTTTCTGGCTGTCCCCATTAGCTTACATCTCTCCAGTAAATGTTCCTGGTAGCTACATCTGTTAGTCATTCCTTTCTGCTAACTGCCAGCTGTTCTTTGAACTCTTTCTGTTTGTCACACCTTTTTCCTGCTTGCTCCTCACCTGTTAGTGGATTGTGGGGCTCACATGGTCTTTGCATTAGGAAGACAATTGGCTACATTTAAATGTTTTCTTTTAAATCAATCTTGTCCCTTCCAAGGCAGCTGTGTAGGATTAGACTGACACCTTTTAATTTGGTCCTAGTTGACTTACCCATGATTTTTATACTAGAGCTTATTTCCCATACAACAGTGTTTCTGAACGCTTCAGGAGCTTTTGAGAATGAAAAGTACTCAGCCTGAGTCTTTGTATGATGTATGATATTTTTATTTAATAGACTTGCAAAACTTCCTTATTAAGAAATTGATCTTTCAAGATGGAGGCTTGATTCAGTGTGCTGTCCTCTTCTAAAATGGATTAAGATGATCAATTTTAATTAATTTGAATGCTGACCTTTGACTGTGGCAGCCTCTTTGACACAGTTAGGGTTTTGGTGTTTTTTTTTGTTTGTTTGTTTTTTTTTTTTTTTTTTTTTGTTTTTGTTTTTGTTTTTGTTTTGTTTTTGTTTTTTTTTTAATAAGTATATTGGCAGTTATGTATTGTGGCTTAGGATATAAATACTAAAAACTGCAAATACTTTTCTAACTTGCAGACTTTTTTCTCTTGCAGGGGATTTTTCCTGCAAACTATATTCACTTGAAAAAGGCAATTGTCAGTAACAGAGGGTGAGTATTTTTCCTTCTTTCTAAGAAGCTGCAATACTTCTCATCTAAAAGGGAATCTAAGAAATAGTTATTAGAATTTATAGAGTGGTTTTAGTTCATTGTATCTATCGTTCTGTACTAGGATTTGAAAATTAAATGTAATTTTGCAGAGCCTTGGGGTTTTTTTTGTCTTTTAATATAGCAAGAATCACTTCTGTTGATTACTCCTATTCACTTTTGTTCATAAAATTCAGATGTATCATCTGAAACACACACATTTTGAAGGACTCTATATTTTAAATTTCTGCTTGTTTCCTCACTGGCAAAATTCTGTACCTTCTTGTTTGTTATGGAGGCACTGGCATGTAGACAGCCCATCTCCCTTATCAGCAGATTTTCACAGAGAGGTAGCTGCAGAGGTAGCTATGTTACTTTGAAACTTTTCAAAAGGACCCAAGAGTGACTGAAGTACACTCTGCTGAAAATAATTCACCTTCACTGTCTTTATGTAGCTCATATGTTGCTAGAGGTAGGTTTAATTTAGTTAATGTGGGTAGCAATACTGATAGCAACATAATGTCAGAGATTTTACTATGTGCAGGCTATATAACCTGCAAAGTTTCCTGTGAGATTGACTGAGAGCCCTGAAATCAATATCTTGTGTCTTCACTGCTGCTCTAACCTGCATATTCTAGATTAAGGCCATTGTGGGGAGGTTTATAAATGCAGCATTTCAGACAGTGACCCAAGGCAACAAATTAAATGTGGAAGATAAAACGTATTAAATGGTGTTTAGTGAAGTACCTGTAGAAAGATAGGTAACTTCTGATTAGTCTTGAATTGTATGTTTATCCTCAAAGGGACTGAGTAAATACTGTAAGGGCAACTTGTAATACTGATGCTTTGTAACTTTGGGGTGTAATCAAATTATATATATTGCATAGAATGACTACTCCTAGCGTGTATTCTCCTTAGGGAAAGGACCAGTTTCCTGTAATGTGTAGTTAATTAGTACTTGATGTTAGTTCAGAATTTGTAAAGAGCAACCAGTTCAGGGTATTTAGATAGTTACTAGGAAAGTTGATGTACTTTTTAAAAATAAGCATCAAAAACTGATATGCCAGTCGATACAACAGAATGTAATACAGTTCTGAACCAGAGATCATGGTTATGTCATGTTTTGGTAAAAAATTCTGCCCCTGTATTTAAAAATATATTCAGAAGTACCAATCTAAAGACTTGTGAAATAATAGAGCATGGTATATAATGTTCTTATATTTGAGTCATAGACCCTATGTGGTGTCATTAATATGTGGGTATAATGAAGTGCAGGGTTATAGTAATGCAAAACATTAAATTTACATGGTTAAATGTAGTCCTGATATGCATTCTCTTTAAATCCAACCATACTGTTGAAGGCTGATCTAAAATGTTTTATTCCACTGATGCTAAAAGTTTGTAAATCCATTTCTAAAAATAATCTTTAGAAGAATATCTTTTTTTTGTCTTAGATTCCACACACCCCCCCCCCCCCCCATATTAGCTAAAGTGTATTGTGTGATTCCTTTCATTCTCTAGTTTTCTGTGGTTTCTTAAAGGGATGTTGAACTATTTTGAATCCCTTCCCTGTAATGGAACTTTACAGAGATCTGAAAAGAACTGAATTTTCAGATAGAGGTAGTTGTGGCATCATTTTTTTTTTAAATGTTGTTAGTGTCAGGCAAACCTTTGAGGATACATACTAAATGCAGAATTTTTGTTTAGCCATTGAAATGATCTTTGAATATGAGCTAAAGAATAGGTGTTGGGTTTTTCATCATATTCTCAGTGCCATACTTAAGATCACAAGCATACTTTGTGGAGATTTGTTAAAGCATGAGTTGAAATTTCCTAGTCTTACTATGACCAAATTTGAAAAAAAAACCCCAACCAAACAAAAAAACCCAATCAAAACAAAACAAAACAAAAAAAAAAACAAACAAAAAAAAAAAAAACCAAAAAAAAAAGCCACCCACAAAACAAAAAACAACAACAAAAAGCCCAAAACTATAAAAAAAAAAAACCAAACCAAACAAAACAAAACCAAACAGAAACACTGCAGGAGTACAATAGTGCACAATCTCAGTTGCCAGGTGTCTGTCAGTGTTTCAGATTCTCACAACGAAATGTTGGAATAGGGTCACTGGCATAATAATAGAAAAAAAATGTGATCTGTCTTAATCTCCTGGTACATATGTGTATGAATTGGTGCCTTCCTGTACCAGTTTTAGTGGTTTCAATGCATAGCTTGTATGACCATGCCAGATTTTTAAAATAGTGATGTTTCTAATATATGTATATTTTGGATCTTAATGTAAGATTTACTTGTGTCATTGATGTGAATATGAGTTTTTGGTATCTTGGAAATGAAGAATTGAAGCTTTTGTTTGATAAGTTTTCTGTTTCAAGAATACAGAGACATACAGTGACTTAACTTTGTCATCCTCTCCCCCACCCCTTGTTACTTTTGACTTCAGCTAATGTGGCACAGTTATTTCTAGTAAGAATTTTTAAAAAGGAAGTATTGCCATGAGAGTACATGGCTTTTTTTAATGAATAGTGATGTTCTCAAAAAAAAAAAAAAAAAAAAAAAAGACAAACAAAAAAAAAAACCTCAAAACAAACAAAAGAACTGGAAACCCAACACTTAAAAAAACCCAAAACAACAACAACAACAAACAAACAAAAAAAACCCAAAAACAAACAAACAACAAAGAACTGAAAACCCAACACCTTTCAGACTTAAATTACATCTCATTGTTCTCTTATTTACTTAGCAGCACTCATCTAACTCTGCACAAAAGACAGAAGAAATAGACTAAACTGGTTATAGAAGGAGGAGTTTATAGCTTCCCTTGAGGAGAATTTCAGAATAGCCGTACACACACTTGTGCTGTTGAGGAGGAAGGGGTGTCAGTTGTCTTTAATGGTTGTTGGATGTGTTGCAGAGGCTGTGTCTCACTCGACACTACTTGTCCCAAACCACCTTTTGAGCCAGGGTTTTTTCAGTAGCAATACTTTAGGACCTATGGAAAATTATTCTGACATGCTGTATTTCAGAAATGTGTTGGGTTTGTTGTTTAGTTCAGTTTTGGTTTTCTACTTTTCTGTCTTTTAAAAATTGTGGAAAGAGCCAGAAGCTTGAAGTGGACCTTATTTTCACAGTGTCTGACACTTGTTTCAGTAATAGCATTCAACATAAAGGGCAAGTCAAGGCACTAATGGCTCAGATAATATAATGGCATTGCAATACATATATTAGTTATCACATTCTTGCATTTCAGTATGGTGAAAGAAAGAGCTACACTTGACTGACATGGACCTGTTGGAGCGGGTCCAGAGGAGGCCACCAAGATGCTGGGGGGTCTGGAGCACCTCCGCTGTGAGGCCAGGCTGAGAGAGTTGGAGGGGTTCAGCCTGGGGAAGAAAAGGCTCCAGGGAGACCTTATTGCTTATAAGAAAGATGGGGCTGCTTGTGGTAGGACAAGGGCTAATGCTTTTAAACTAAAGAGGGTAGATTCAGTCTACACATAAGGAAGAAATTTTTTACCATGAGGGTGGTGAAACACTGGCACAGGTTGCCCAGAGAGGTGGTAAATGCCCCATGCCTGAAAACGTTCAGGGTCAGGTTAGACAGGGCTCTGAGCAACCTGATGGAGTTGAAGATGTCCCTGTTCCTTGCCAAGGGGTAGGACTAGATGACCTTTAAAGGTCCCTTCCAACCCAAACTGTTCTGTCATTCTCCTTTAATGGGTATAGAGGATATTGACCACAGAAGGGGCAAGTCCTACTCTTCTGATTAGAGGATAGCTCACTCGAGTTCCATAGGCAATACTGAAAAAGTCTTCTGGATGGGAAAGGTTAATAGATGTTAGATCTGCTGGGTGGTTAATGATATTGGCTAATATACTAATTGGTGGTAAAAAAGGGTTGGCTTAGAGAGAAGAGACACAAACTGTGAAGGACCTCAGTTTACAGACAAGTTAATTTAACGTGCTATAATCATGAAAAGTGTTTTTACTGACCTTGATTAGACTCAAATCATATATTTTGAACAGATAACTAGGAAATGCTTCACATAAGCTGATTCTAGTGGAATGTAATGGAGGAACAGTTGATAGGACTCTGGAGTTGCTTCAGTGTTACAACAGACAAAATGTTCCTAAGATATTTTCATTTACGTTGAACAGATTCAAACAAATTCAAGTTCTAGCATTTTACAAATTACCATGATGACATTTACTACTTTTTCTAGTTTTTCAAGGGTACCTTTCCTAATTCTTTCCACTCTTCTTGCATAGGCAATATGAAACAGTTGTTCCACTTGAAGATTCTGTTGTGACTGAAGTCACAGCAACACTGCAGGAATGGGCTGTGCTCTGGAAACAGCTGTATGTGGTAAGAACAATACTCTTCTCATTTTACTTCATTTCTCAGATATCTTGGGAGATACGTTGCCTGTATTTCAGTCCACTAGGAAAAGATAATAATCAATATAAGAATTGCTAGTTTCATTTTATCTAGCGGGGGGGTTTGCTAACTGCAGAATCACTGATCATGTGAGGTTCACATGGGCCATGATAGAAATTTCAGTGGTTTTGAAATTCTGCTTCAGATCTGAAAGCTTCATTGTTTAAAAAACACCAATTCTAAAATGTTCTTAAATATGTAAGAAATACTGTATGTGTTTACTAACACAAAATGGAAGACTTCTGTAAGTCCCGTCAAAGACTTCAAAGAATTATTCAGCACAGTCTGTGATTATTTTAGTGTCTAGAATTTGAAAGAAGAGCAGCTCAGCAGTGGTCCTGTACAATTGTTCCTTCATGTATTAAAAATAAACACTCAAGATAAGTGTGTTGAGTTTTATACTCTTCTATTTTACATAATTTTCAGTGGCCGACACTTAATGTCACCTACTTCTGCTTTTGTCTTTGTTCTTCTCTTTTTTAATGGCCAAGTCTCACAGAAGAGCAAATAAAAAGCAAGTGCATTGGAAAGTATTTTTTAACTCTTGTTTTTTTCTTCCTCCTTTTAGCTTTTTAGCTTAGTAACTACAAGCCATAACTGTAGGATTAGGATCAAGAATTGTAGGTGGTACAAGCCTAAATTTCATTTTTTTTCCTTACTATAGAGAAATACCTCTACATAGAGCTGTAGCAGTTTTGTTTCCTTATTTAAACCTGAAGTGACAGCAGTTAGATATCTAGGAAATAAAACCAGAGAAGATCCAATTAAATGAGCCTAGTGTATCTCTAGCATAACCAGCTATGTTTCGTATTCCCTTCAAAAAGCAATCAAGTCTATTATGAAATTAGTTTTACTTTTGTTGCTCCCACTTCTTTTATGGGAATCATATGCCTCTCAAGAAATTTTCTTGGAAAGTAGCATCTGATCTACTTGGGGGGTGGGAGGGATGGCACATGGTATAAACTCTTTTTTTTATAGCCCTCTTACATTTAGTAGTCCTTTTTTTTTTTTTTTTTTTTCCCTCCATTTCAAGTATTATGGTGTGTGTGAATAAAGTGATCTTTTCTGTTTTCTTCCTGTAAGATTTTTCTCTCTCCCCAGTGTCAGATGAAGATGACAACAGTAGTACTGACAATGCTATTGAGTTGGAGAAAGGGGAATAATTTTACCTACAAATGAGTTACACTTCCTTTCTGCTAATCTATTTCTTTTTTATTGTTAAAACTAGTTCCTTGAGGGGAGGGAGAGAGAAAGCTCTAGCTATAACTTTCACTTAGTGATTTTCTTTCTGGGACTGCTTTCTATTCTAGCTCATTATACTTACTATAACATTGCATGCAACATTACTGTATTCTTAAATACAGGGGAAAGATTTTACTGTATTCATAGAACTTTGGAAGGAGTCATCTGTTCCATGACAAGAAGAAACTGGCAGAGCTTCAGAGTAGAAAATAAATTCTTTTGTGTTTTTTTTTTTTTTTTCCCAGAAATGAGAAAAAAAAAAAAAAAAGCTTTCTAATACAGAAATAATCACAGAACTGTTTAGGTTGGAAGGGACCTCTTCAGATCATCTAGTTCAACTGACTTCTCAGGCAGGGTCAGCTAGACCAGGTTGTCCAGGACTACATCCAGTCAGGTTTTGAGTTTCTTGTGAATGGAGACTCCACAACTTCCCTGGACAAAGCTGTCAGTGTTTGACTATCTCCAGTGTTTTCTTATGTTCAGGACTGCTGATGTAGTACCATAGCCTTTCTGACGGGAAAGAGCACCATTGTTAGGTGGGTAACAGAAATTTGTCCTATTTACAAATAGTAAATCTGAAGCCTGAAGGGTGCACTAATGGATGTGTCAGAGCCAGGTTTAAGGTTTTATAATTGGTATTCAGGCTAGAAGGTATGCTGTAAGGTCATATCTTAAAATATATTAAAAGACTAAATAGAAATACTTAGTTGTTGGATCAGCACCAGCAGAAATTTTTATTATTCCCAGACTGTAATAAGAATCATCTAAGAAATCTAATTAATGTTATTTATCATGCTACTGTGCCTAATCAGCTTTGTGGAGAAGTTTGTTACTGTGGTGAAAGTTCAAACGCTGGTTGTTACAGCAGGTGCTTTCAGTAGGTCAGTACCTATGAATGGTAACAGTAGGCACTTCATTTAGTAGTACTGCACTGTAAGACAGCCGCCCAACAAAATGCACAGCATCCCTTAATATTTCTGAGCGGGCTGAAAAGTTCATCTCATGCTTTTTGGCTAACATCTTGGATTATGGTTTGAAAGACCAAGTTTGTTTCAATTAAAAATTCTAAGAAATTGTTTTAGTAGTATCGTTCAGATACATTGTAAGGTTTGTATTTGCCTTTCAGTTAAACAATAGGAACTGGAATGTAATACCCAGGAAGCCTGGAGCGATTAAAACACTGCCCGAGGAAGGGTGCTATGTTGTTCTGAGATAAAATAGCTCAGCTGGCAAAAAATTGGAGGGAGGAGACCAGTGAGAAATGGAAGGGAAAAGTGAAGCACAACTTTGAGAGAAACAGTTGTAGAAAATTAGTTTGTATAAAATATTGTCAATCTTCCTTAGTTCCTTCTGACCACAGAAGGTCCATGCTGTTACTGGGAAGAAACTGTGCGTGAGGAAGCTTGAATAGGTTTCAGTTATAAGAGTTGTGTAGTAATTTTAGTTTGTATGTCTGTGAGATATATATTGGAAAGATTAGCCTGAGTTCACTATACTACACAGGACTCTGATATTCTTGTAATTTTTGCTATCAAGGTAATTTTTGCTATCAAGGTGAAAGCGAAATGATAGGCTTAGTAGAACTAGAAGCTGAGACTGGAGAAGGAGGCATTTGTGTGCAATGAGTTCATAAAGGATGGGCTGTGCGTAAAAGTAATTTGAAATAAAGAAGTATGGTGTGTTCTTTGCTTTACTGTAATATCATGCTATGCTCTGAGTAGTTGGTTTCTGATACTATAACCCTTTAAATGCTAGTAAAACAATGAGATTTTTGAAAGTGCAGGAGGTTTCCCTCAAATTGGAAAGCGAAAGGGATAAAAAGAATACTGGTATGAAAGCTATCAGATTTAATTTATATTGGGTGGTTTGTAGCATTAATGATAAAATCCTATGCCTACGTAAAAATCACCTTTTTTTTTTTTGTTACTGAGTAATCAGTAATAGAACTTAAATATTTAATATGTTTAAAGGAGTACAGTTGATATGATTTTCATAGTTCTGGGCACAGACTTCTTAGCAGGGCGTGTAGCAGTAGGACAAGGGGTAATGGTTTTAAACTAAAAGAGGGTAGATTCAGACCAGATAAAAGGAAGACGCGAAACACTGGCACAGGTTGCCCAGAGAGGTGGTAAATGCCCCATCCCTGGAAACATTCAGGGTCAGGTTAGACAGGGCTCTGAGCAGCCTGGTGGAGTTGAAGATGTCCCTGTTCCTTGCCAAGGAGTAGGACTAGATGACCTTTAAAGGTTCTTCCCAACACAACCCCTTCTATGACTCTATGAAAAGAACACATTTTTTCCCCCTATTTGAATATGTAGTCTTTGTGCAGATAGGTACAGTTTCATGACACTGGAAAATAAAAAACCAGTTCTTTGCTTTCTGATCTGGCTGTATCCAGGCTTCTTAGTTGAGCACAGAAACAGTAAGATCTAGTAACTACTTTCTGTCAAAAAAGGTCACTGTTCTATTTAAGCAATTTGGTTTGGATTTTCCTACTTTCACTGCTATTGTACAAAATCTTTGGGAGAGAATTCACGGGAACTGAGTGTTTAAAATCTGTACTATGTACACACTGTATACCAAGTTTCTTATAATGTGGGTAGAGTTTCTGATATCCATACCTGACCAGGCGAGTGTGTGCATGTATGTATATGTGAGTGTCTGTGTATACACATACACACGTATGTATATTGTCACTAAGTATATGGACTCTGTATCTTGTGTTATTGCTTTGCCTGACTGAAGTACTCTTTATTGTTCTTTAGATTAATTTGGACAAGATACCTATTTCATTTTGTAGGAAGCCTAAGAAATTTAAAACGAGGCTCTGCTTATCCTTTCTCAGTATTACAAAGGCTTACAAACAAAAGATGCCAGTGATTCCCTCCCCCAATATTGTACTTAATATGGAGTGGAAGAGGAGAGAAAAGTAGGATTATTACTGGTACCATTATGGGAGGCTGAGCTTGTTCTTGTGACTACTCCAAAGGGACAAGGAAGAGAAGAGAAGAACAGAAAAGCAAGAACAAACCTTGGGGACCCTTCTGTAGGCACAGGGGTGGATGAAGATGAAAAACTGCATTTGTTACTGTGGAATATATGTGTGTGGCTCTTACGCAGTTGCCCAGACCAGTATATAACTTCCACTGAGACAGCAAAATAATACAAGATAGGTAACTTTCTCTCTTACCCTGTATGTGTTGATAAGATTTGTTATTTTTATACTACTTCTAAATAAAGGATCTGCAAGTTCTCTGTGAGCTTTTGTTAATTAGGTCAAACAAGACTCCTGTGAGTTGTTAAGTCAGCTGAAGAGATCACTGAAACTCACAGTTGGAGCATAGTAGCTATTTTAACAGTAAAAAAATATTCCTCCGAGTTTAAGATGTGATGTGAGGACTATTTCTGTTGAAATAGCAGATGACTGTAGAGAGACCAAACATAATTGCCCAATTTCGAATTTGGTCAGATCAATAAAGGTAATTTGCTATTTTTATGCAGAAGGGGAGCAGTGGAAAAGTGTGGAGTGACTTTTCATTTTGTTTTAGTAGTAAGACCTAGTGGTGTTGGGAGTAGTTGGAATTTTTGCCAGCTGAGTCTGAAATGAATTTCCTTTTAAATTTTCCGAGGATCCTATCAAGGAAAAGAGAGTGGGTAAAAGGAGTTGGTGCAATCGAAGATGTCTG